GGGGCAGAGGGAGAGAGAAAAGCAGATTCCCTTCCAAGCAGGGAGCCTGATGTGGGGCTTGATCCCAGGACCCCAGGATCATGACCTAAGGGGAATGCAGACACCCAACCCACTGAGCCACCCAGGTGCCCCAACACAGTGTTATATATGAGTTTCAGGTATACATTTTAATGATTCATCGATTCCATGCATTCTCAGTGCTCATCAAGATAAGTGTGCTCTTAATCCCTTTCACCTATTTTATCCATCCCCCTACCCACCCCACCTGTGGTAACCCCAGTTCTCTGTATTTCAGAATCTGGCTTTTTGCTTTTTTTTCCCTTGTTCATTTGTTTGCTTCTTAAATTTCATGTGAGTGAAATCATATGGTATTTGTCTTTCTCTGACTTATTTCACTTAGTATGAAACCCTGTAGATCTATCCACATTGTTCCAAATGGCAATGTTTCATTCTATTTTATGGCTGAGTAATATTCCATTATATCTGTATGAGTATATGTATGTGTGTGTGTGTGTGTGTGCGTGTCTGTATCCTGCATTTTCTTTATCCATTTCTCTATGGATGGACACTTGAGCTTCCATATTTTGGCTACTGTAAATAATATTGCAATAAGCATAGGGGTGCACATAGTTTTTTGAATTAGTGTTTTCCTTTTCTTTGGATAAATATCATATGATCTTTTTAATTTTTTGAGGAACCTCCATGCTGTTTTCCATAGTGACTGCAGTATCTTTCATTTTCACCAACAGCTCCTTTTTCTCCCTATCCTTTCCATAATTTGTTATTTGCTATCCTTTTTGAGTCTAGCCATTCTGACTGGTATGAGGTGATAGCTCATCGTGGTTTTGATTTGCATTTCCCTGATGCCTGCTGACGTTGAGCACCTCTTCATGTACCTGTTGGCCATCTGTATGTCTTTTTTGGAAAAATGTCAATTCATGTCCCCTGCTCATTTTTAATTGGATTATTTGGTGTTGAGTTGTATAAATTCTTTATATATTTTGGGTATTAACCCCTTATCAGACACATCAGTTACAAATGTTTCTCCCATTCACCAGGTTGTCTTTTGTTTTGTTGATGGTCTCCTTTGCTATGCAAAAGCTTTTTATTTCTGTAGTGTAGTGATTTATAATTTTTTTAAAAAGATTTTACTTATTTATTTGACAGAGTGAGAGAGCACAAATAGGCAGAGCAGTAGAGGGAGAGGGAGAAGCAGGCTCCCCACTGAGTCAGGAGCCTAATGCGGGGCTTGATCCCAGGACTCTGGGATCATGACCTGAGCTGAAGGCAGATGCTCAACCGACCAAGCTACCCAGGCACCCCATGATTTCTTACAATTTTTAATAGTCTTTACACATCTAAAATCTTTTCCATATTGTTTAAAAGTCCTTATCCTTATTCTCCTTAATACTTTCCACCAGCGTTTTTTCCCCCTTTATAACACACCAATTTTCTCTTGTCTAACTCTTATATCCTTTTTAATCACTAAGTGTATAGATTCTAAAATAATGTGTATAGGTTTTAAAACACTGAATGTAAATTATTCCTGGTGTTCCTAACTGGCCAATTAGCTAAGAATTTTTATTATTTCCATCATGGGGTTAAAAATAGAATCTCTTTTGAAATGTACTTCGTGAATATATTTTTCTTTCACTTCCATGGCTTCCACCTTACCCATGATAAGTTGCAATGCTTTTTAGGTCACACAAGATTTTCTACTCAGAGTTTTGCAGAGATTAGTGGCAAATGGACTCAACAACTGGCTAGAAATTGAATTTCAGTAAAAGAGTAAAAAAATGCTTATTACTTAGCAAGTCAACAAAAGTATGCTCCATGTTCTCATCAGACACTTTTTAAATGTAGTGTTAGCTTGAAAACAAATATATAAGCCAAAGTGGGGGATAGAAAATGCCAAACATTAAAAGCCAGAACTCCTTCTTGAGAACATTGTTTGTTAATGATAGTTACTAGTCAGTTTTTGACTTCTTAAAAAGGCTTGGAACATCATGAAGATAAAGAAAACTTGAGTTACTGCCAATAATCTACTACAAATAATTGATTTGACTAAATTTCAATAAAATTGAAGGTCATTGGCTATGTTTCTCCTCCCCTTTCTCTTCCTCCTCCTCCTCCCCGCTCCTTCTTCTTTTTTAGATTTTGTTTATTTATTTGAGAGAGAAACAGAGAGTGCCCAAGCAGGGGGAGGGGCAGAAGGAGAGTGACAAGCTGACTCCCTGCTGAGCAAGGAGCCCCACATGACATGACTGGGGTGGAGGGGCAAACGTGGCTTATGTCAGCTGATCAGGACCAACATGAGGCCCCATCTGGCTTGATCCCAGGACCCTGAGATCATGGCCGGCCTGAGTCAAAGTCAGACACTTAACCGACTAAGCCACCCAGGCATCCCTATTTTTCTATTTTCTTTGTTCCTAGTTTTCAAATACTGGATAGTTGGTATTGACCTTTACCTTGTCATGTTCTCTATGCCGGAGGCAAGAACAATGCACAGGTGTTATTTATTTAGCTACTTCATCCTTAAAGCTGCCAAAGAGGATCTCGGATGGAATAGATTTGCAAGTGCATAAAAAAGAATAAAATTAAATGTTGTACAGAAATGACCTCATGTGTTTTCATAGCCTTCATCTAAGTAGATCGAGGGACTATATTAGTCCTTATTTTATAGATAAAGAAACTGAAGGAAAAAGGAAACAAGTATATTTAAGATTTATTAAGCATCTGTAACAGCAGAGGCACAGTGCAGAGTTTTGGAACATACACATAATTAAGCTGAATTCCATACCCTGAAAACAGTCACAATCTAGTGGACATAGGTGACTGTGAAAAATGCCATCATAAACATAGAATACAATGAAAGAACAAGGGGGGAATGACTTCTGATGGCTGTAAGCTTTTGAAAGGGTTTTGTAGAGATGGAATCTGAGCCAAGATTTAGTGGGTAGAGTGTTCTACAGGCAAAGATGGTGGGATAGCAGAGGTAAGAGCAAAGGCATAGAAAGGTAGGACATGTGAATTTGTTAGCTATCGCTTGAATCTGAGGGTAGGGCAGGGATAGAAGGGAGATGACATGTTCGGAAGGTCTGTAGCTGTCCTTAATGGCAACTCTGGTAACAATGGGGTAAAAAGTAGGGTGGCAGGGAGATAATTAGGAGACAACTGCAATGGCTCAGGAAAGAGGTAATGAAGCTTGAATGGATCAGAAGTAGGAGTGATGACAGCAGGTAGTGATAGCAGAAGTAAAATCTATATAATTTGGCAACTGAGTGGGCGTGGACCATGAAGGAGGAGGAGGAGTTGTTGAAGATGATTCTAATCCATTAACCTGAACCAGTGAACATACTACATTTGAGCTACGCTGGGCCAGAGAGAAGGGAATTTCTATTAGGAAAGTGGAAATGGGGGTCTAGAGATCAGGACAGATACGGATTAAGAAATCAACCACAAGCATACGCTGGCTGAATCCGTATGAGTGGAAGAAATCACCAAAGAATAACGCACAAAGAGGAAAAAGACAAAAAGAAAACCTTAAAATGCAGGGAACACCAGCGTTCTAAGCAAGAGGAGAGTGGGGGGAGTGAAGGAAGGGTCATTGGTGTCACACGAACGGTAGGTCTGAGAGGGAAGTGGATGATGCAAGGTGATAGAAATCAAGGGAGAAAAGTTTCCAGAAATAGAACTGACTGAAGCTGAGGGGATCAGTAGGCGACTTCCTGTGGTCACAGAGATCACATCTGCATCTGAATTCCGCACCTATCTACCGAATTATCTTTCTCTCTCTCTCTCTCTCTCTCTCTCTCTCTCTCACACACACACACACACACACACACACAATGTGGTTTTTTTTTTTTTTTCTTTCAAGAGGAAACTACTCCTCATTTTATCAATAGTTAATGTGGGACTCCGTGATCAAAATAAATCACAAGTTCCAATTTCCTTCATTAATCTTCTTTGCAGCTCACTCTACTCTCCTTACACTGAGTTTTTTAGAGAACTATTATTAATCAGGTACGTGTCCTTTTTAATCCTTGTGGATGCGGTTCCATTCAAGGACTCCTCAGTCATAGAGGTCGGCTGGGCATCTAATCCAGCAGCGGGATGAGGACTTGTTCCCCAACCTCTTCAGCCTCAGTTTCCTCATTTGCAAAATGGGAATGGCGGTACTTACTTCTTAAGAGTCGAGAAGCTTGCATGAGAGAGCGCAAGTAAAACTCTCAGCACATTGCGTCAAAGGTCGTCATTTTTGCTGTGACCGTTTTGTAATCCCCCTGAGAGCAAAAGACAACCCCAATACTAGTCTCTAAAGCGTGTAACACCGAGCTGGGGACGTGTAAGCCTCATTCTGCCAGCCCTCCGGGAAGCGTCAAACACAGGAAGAGGGATACATGGTTGACAGGTTCCCCAGACTCCGCAGCTGACAGCCCCAGAGGAAGGACTGGCCGCAAGACGCAGCGAGAATCAGGGTCTCAGGCACCGCCTATGACCCTCGGATGACCACACGTCCCAGGGTGCAGCGCGCCCACCCTGGGTGGAAATTTGGGCAGGCGGAGTCGGATTGAGAGCCGCGCCGGAGGAAGCAGTGCACGCTGGGACTTGTAGTCTTCGGGTCACAAGTTCACGGGTCGGAGGAGGGTCGAAGTCAGAGTTCCCGCCCCAGTCCCGCCTTTTGTCCACGTCTCACTTCTCCCGGCCAATGCCCTCTCCTATTCCCGGAGCCCGCCCCTCTCCGGTCCGGTTCCCATTGGTCCTGAGCCTCAACGCCTTGGCCCTACCCGGAAGTAGCGTTGGGGGAGGCGGTTTCCTAGACTACGACACCGGAAAGCTGGGGGAGGTGCTCGGGGCTGCTGAGGGCGGAGGGCGGTGGCAGCGCTGGCGCTGGGGACCGGCTCTGTGGTTTCGGGAAGCAGATCGGCGACGGCTGCCGCTCGCGTAGCTCCGCATCCCGCCCTCGGCACGGCTCTCAGCCCCCTTGCCACCGGCGTCCGGCAATGTGTCCCACCGGCCGGGCGTAGCCGCTGCGCGTGCGCGGAACCGTGGGGCCATGAGCGAAGCCGGCGGCGGCCGGGGCTGTGGGTCCTCGGTCCCCCAGCGAGCGCCATGGAGCCTAGTGGCGGCGACGGCTGCGTTCTGCCTGGTGTCGGCCACGTCCGTGTGGACGGCGGGGGCCGCGCCCATGAGTAGGGAGGAGAGACAGAAGCTTGGGTAAGGGTGCCTGGCAGCCTCGGGTGGGTTTCCTCAGGAGGCGGACCACAGGCGAGGTGCCTGTCATTGCGACCCGGGCGCTCAGTGGCCTCTCTTGTCGCGATTGAGATGGTTCTTGCCCCGCGAGGGAAGGACAGGGTCCGGGGAGGTGGGGGCCGTCGCCTGCAGGGCGACCTCGAGGGGCCGTCGGGGTGTCGCCTGGGCCGTCGGTGACATGTGCAGGCTGCTTGAGGCCATTCGCCGTTTGTCAACGCAGCTGCCATGTCAGTGGCCCGTGAAGAGGGCTACAGCCGGTGTTACTACGCGACAGAGTCCTGCGGTTGTCTTTAGTCGGAGACATGGTTGAATTTCTCGCACAAGTGAGCTCCCAGCTTGGAGAATGTTGCTGATCTCACAGTAGTTAAGGAAATAGTCTTTACACCTGTTACAGAAAAAGGGGGCGTTCATTGGAATTTGAACTTTACACATTTACCATTTCCTTGCAGTGTTTTCTTGCACTACTTTTTCTAGTAGAACAGTATTTAATGGTATTATTCAGAAGTCTCAATTAAATATACCTGTTCACTTTACTCAAAGTAATTTTTACCAGTTTCGAAAGTGTCATAAAATTATCAGTTATATTTACAGCATTTAGTTGGGAGTCAATATTCCTAATATATGCTGGGTCCCACAAAGGAATAAGAAAAAAATCCAAGAACCAGTAAGAAAATGAGCAAAGAGCATGAAGAGTTCATTTCCTCCACATGGGAGGAAATGCAAATGGTCAATAAACATGAAAAGTTACTCAACCTCTTAAATGTGAGAGATGCAGATTAAAACAATGAGATAGCTGTTTTTCCCCTTAGATTAGTAAGTACAGGGGGTGCATGCCTGGTTCAGTCAGTAAAGCCTGTGACTCTTTTTTTTTTTTTTTTAAGATTTTATTTATTTATTTGACAGACAGAGATCACAAGTAGGCAGAGAGGCAGGCAGAGAGAGAGGGGGAAGTAGGCTCCCCGCTGAGCAGAGAGCCGGATGCAGGCCCCAATCCCAGGACCCTGAGATCATGACCTGAGCCGAAGGCAGAGGCTTAACCCACTGAGCCACCCAGGTGTCCAAAGCCTGTGACTCTTGATCTCAGGGTTGTAAGTTGGAGTTCCACTTTGGGTGCAGAGATGAATTAATTTTTTTTTTAATTAAAAAAATTTTTTTAAATTCAGAGATGAATTAAAAATAAAATCTTTGGGGCGCCTGGGTGGCTCAGTGGGTTAAAGCCTCTGCCTTCGGCTCAGGTCATGATCCCAGGGTTCTGGGATCGAGCCCCGCATCGGGCTCTCTGCTCAGCGGGGAGCCTGCTTCCTCCTCTCTCTCTGCCTGTCTCTCTACCTACTTGTGATCTCTGTAAACAAAAAAAAAAAAGGATTAGTAAGTACAAAACACAGAGTACTGACTAGTTGAAATGTGAGAAAAGAGTTGGTGGGAGTGTAAATTGCTGTAACTTATTGACAGTATCTCCTAAAATTTAAATTGTGTGTACTCTTTGATTCAATAATCCCGACTTAGGGAATCAATTTTACAGAAATAAAAGCACTATTGATGTATAGATAGGTGTACAAAGATGTGTGTTTTGAAAGAATGGAACTGTTACTCGGAGCATCCGTATTGTGAAATAATATTCAGACATTAGGGAAGAGGTAGATCATTGGAAGGCTATCCAGGATACATTCCCAAGACCCCCCCCCCCCAAAAAAAAGTAAACTGTAGAATAATATGTATAGTGCCATTCTATATATATATATTTTTTTCTTTTTAAAAGGTTATATTTGTTTGAGAGAGAGGCCAGTGAGAGAGCAGGAGCAGGGGGTAGGGCAAAGGGAGAAGCAGGCTCCCTACTGATGAGGGAGTGAGATGTGGGGGCTAGATCCCAGGACTCCCGCGATCATGATCATGACCTGAGCCCAAGGCAGACACGTGGCCAACTGAACACCCAGGTGCCCCACCATCCCATGTTCTTTTAGAAACAGAAAAGAAATTGTCTAAGCTCGGAAAAACGTGGAAGGATGATTACCCCCTGGGTTAGGATGGAGGTGAGATGGAACCATCAGATTTTGTTTTATATACTTCCTTATTGTTTAAATCATTGCAAGAGTATTGTATTAACTTTTAAATAAGGTAACAATAAAAGATGCCTGATGGGAAAAAAAAAGTCAGCTACCCAAAGAAAATGATCAGTAAACTCTTAATTAGTATCTTAAATTTTCTCTCTTTATGAATTTAATGTGTCATTGATAACTGTTTTAATGAATGCCCTGCTCTGTGCCAGGCACTTTATATATGTTATCTCTCTAATCCTCTATGTTAATGAGGTGGAGGTGATCCCCATTATGCAGAGGAGGAAATTGAGACTCAAGATCAACTTGTTCAGACTCAGAGCTAAATGGTGGACTCAGTGTTCAAGATTAGGTCTGTATGACCCCAGAGCCGATGTTCTCTCCAATGTGTTGTGCTTCTTAAGACTTGGAAAGAGAAGCTTCAGGTCTGTTAAGGATAGAAAGTATCTTATTTGACTGCCACTCTTCTTTCTTTCTTTTTTATATTAAACAAAAATTTTTATTTGAAGAAAAGTCATTAGTTAAGTCATTTTTGTCCAAAATTAATTTTTAACTGGAAAAGTTTACTGAAAATGACTTGAATTGTCGGTTTAAATTTTGAGAGTAAGAGTCTGGAACTATAAACCACAAATACACAGTTGCTTGACTGCTTTCCCCTTTGGGAATTTTCCTTCCGGAACCTGAACCTGTGTGATTCTTTTAAAAGCCCAAGTGATTTATGATTAAAAAACCTCAAAAAGGGGCACCTGGGTGGCTCAGTGGTTAAGCCTCTGCCTTTGGCTCAGGTCATGATCTCAGGGTGCTGGGATCGAGCCCCGCAACGGGCTCTCTGCTCGGCGGGGAGCCTGCTTCCCCCTTTCTCTGCCTGCCTCTCTGCCTACTTGTGATCTCTGTAAAATAAATAAAAATCTTAAAAAAAAAAAAACCCTCAAAAAATGCCTCATCCCTTTTCCTGTCCCCCCAAACCAAGGATGATAAAGACCGGAATTATCACAAGTTGGAAGCAGTTGCTCAATTGCTTCCAGTTTGTGGAATTTTTTACTTGATCATATGTAGTCTTACCCTTTCTGGAATGCATTGTTTTTTGCTTTTGTGGTTTAAATGTTACAGCAGTTGTTAATGTTATCTTTTCATTTTAAAACAAGGGAAGTATAAAGTTATCCAATTTCTGTAGGACATTGACAGGCAATGTAGTTTTAGAAAAAGCTGACTTATAAAAATTATTTTAACATCATTAAAAAGACATAATTTTTGAACTGTGGATCTGATTCCCAATACATTTCCGTTCACTGGCTGAATAGAAATAAAACCATCACAGAGACATTTTTTCTGTTTAATAGAGTAAGCTACCATTCTGTATTTAAAGATGACTGTGAGGACTTACAGGTTTAGTAGAGAGAGTGCTCAACTGAGTATTAAATATCTCCACTTTGAAGTATGTGTTATGAAATTTGATGGCCATGTGCTACAGAAATGTAAGGATTGGAAAATAATGTGTCCTCATTTGTAGTTGTGATTTATTCATAATCATGAAAACTGAATGCTTATGAAGTTTGGGTTAACCAGTTAAAGCTTATGTTATCTGTAAAGCGCATGTCTAGGCATTGCCGTTACCAGTTAAAAGAGGTTCTATTTCTTGGCAATACTCTTGTGTTGATTCCATTTCAGTGAAAGGAAGAAAAATTTCCATATTCCATTTATTGATACCAGTGCTTGAAAGGAAAATTTTAACATTGTTTTTGGTGGTTCATTAGCTAATTTGAGAGATCTTTATCATCTGCAATATAATAAATGTGTGGAAGAATTCTTTAAGATACTTCATAGTTTTCTGAGATAACTTGGTCCGTATTCTATCATATATGTACAGATGTAAGAACTCATGTTTTAGCAAAGTGATAAGATCTTGTTTATAATGATTATTTTAAAATGATTATTCATAAAACGTTTGTCAGGACTTAATTTATTCAGTTTACAAGTTTGAGTGTACTTGATTTTGCTGGTCATTATAGCTAGGATCTGGAAATTAATTCTTTTCTGTCTGCTAGCTTTATTATTACCAATATTTCATCATCCATGATTACAGTTTTTATAAAATGACAATTGCAATGTAACAGGAAGTAAAATAGAATTATACCCAGCCATATTCTCTAACACTTTCTTCAATTCTTGCTATTAGTGACTGGAGCTTTGGGAACAATAGTAAGTGTTAATAGAAGATTACTGAAATACTTTTTCCTTGCTAATTATTGAGATATTTGGCCTTGTCTAACCATAACATTAACTTTGTAGTTTTTCGTGTAGTCCTCAAGCCCCCAAACTTGAGAGTGTTGAACTGAAAGACTGATTTATTGGTCCAGACAATACAGATTTTGACTTAGTAAATCTGGTGTGGGGATCAGAAATCTCCATTTTAAATAGTTGTCTTGGGGATTTTAAGAAAGAAAGATAGCCAAAACACACAAATCTCTTCTCATTTGAGACATGAATATTATTTATTTGACTTCTGACAGTTTTTTAAAGGAGAAGAGAGTATATCATAAAATCATAAAGTGTATCTTTTGAAAGTGTGAACAAATATATGTTAATAAGTATGTATTAAACTAGGCATTAGTGACTTGATTTAAAATGAAAGAAGCTTGTTAGAGTACTGTTATTTCAAATCATTACATACCCATCCTTCTCTTGAGAGAATATCCAGCTATATTCTTCCATTTAAGACAGACATGTTGAATAGTTTTTTAAGAGGTAATTGTTTTTTAGCATCAGATTTCCTTCTCTCTGCATGGCATGCATCATTTATCAATTTTTCTTGGGAAACATAAGGTGAATTTTACATAAATTGCTAGGAATAGTAAAAGTTTGGGCCAGCTCTATGTGGTTCATGAAAGCTTATCTACTAACACTGCTGTATTTCTTGACTCTGTTTATGTCTTTTCTAACTAATTTTTTCTTTTTTTTTTTTTTAATGGGTGTATGTTTATGAAGGAGCATTAACTTTTTTAGAAAAACTTCTAGAATGTACTTAACTTTTTTCCATTTCTGCTCTTTTAAAATTAGGAATCAAGTACTGGAAATGTTTGATCATGCTTATGGTAACTATATGGTAAGTAGAAGTCTTATCTTTATACATCATTTATGTGAGTGGGTTATTATATAAAAATAGCTGCAGATTTTGAAACCTGTATTAATAGCACATTCTTTTTAACGGAAGTTTAAAAAAAAACAGTGCAAGCATAAGCTAACAGTGTTTTTGGTAATTGGTTATTAGAGGAGTTTAATTGGATAGCTACGAAACTGCATTAGATTATGTAACTTTGTATTTAAGTAATTTTCTTTGATAATATCAGCAATGTGAGTGATTAATATGGTTAGATATTGTGGATGTACATGAATAAGATGTTGTCTCCAGCCTTTGGGGAAATTATTATCTTATTTAAAAATACTATTTACAATATTGCTTCATATACTCTACGAAGAAAACTGTTGTTGAAAAGAGACAAAATATGACCTAGTTTCTGTCCAAGTTATGTCTTAATAGTGCGCTTTGATTTGAATATATTCTACTTTCTAAATACACTGATCTGTATTGTTTTAAAATGTCTTAGTGTTCACTTGGGATGAAATTGCGGGTTTAGTTTTGCAAGATGAAAAAGTTATGGAGCTCTCTTGCTCAACAGTGAATATACTTAATGTTGCTGAACTTAAAAATGTTAAAAATGGTAAATTTTATGTTTTTTTAACCACAATTAAAAATTTAATCCTCCCATAGTACAGGGAGCCGCTTGGGTGATGGCAAGGCTGGAGGTTGTAGGTGCCCCCTATTTCTCCCTGCCTCATGCCCCTTAATAAAATGATCTTAGACTTCAGGAAAAAAAAATGTTTAATTTCTAAAAAGATGAACTAGGCAACAAATTTTAGAATTCAAAGATTCTCTGTGAATTTCTATAATTTTGAAAAGAGTAATCAAATTATTCTGAGAATTCTTATGAATTTTAAAATATATTTTTACATTTTAAAATATGTTTTTAGTTTTTTACATTTTAAAATGTTTGTACATTTTAAAATGTGTCAGATTTTCTTTTATGATGAAAGCCTATAAAATATACTTGGGAAAAGTTTGACAGAGAACTAACTTTAATTGATTCTGCTTTAAGTGTATTTCAACTGATTCTGTGAATCCATTTTTCATTATATATAATGCAAATATCTTCATATATTAACATCTTTATAAACTAAGTATACACACTTTATGTGTTCTTGTACCTTTTTTTTTAGCTTTTTATTTTATCTTATTTTTTAAAAGATGTGTTTGTTTATTTATTTGACAGAGATCACAAGTAGGCAGAGAGGCAGGCAGAGAGAGGTGGGGAAGCAGGCTCCCCACCAGGCAGAGCGCCCGACGTGGGGTTGATCCCAGGACCCTGGGAATCACGATCTGAGCCGAAGGCAGAGGCTTTAACCCACTGAGCCACCCAGGCACCCCATTTTTTTAGCTTTTCAAAAAATTTATTTGACACTGAGCAGAGTGAGTGAGAGAACACAGGTGGGGGGGAGGGGCAAAAGGAGAGGGAGAAGCAGGAAGCAGACTCTCTTTTGAGCAGGGAGCTAGACTTGACTCAGGGCTCCATCCCAGGACTCTGAGATCATGACCCGAGCAGAAGGCAGACACTTAACTGACTGAGCCATCCAGGCGCCCTGCATTTTTGTATTGTTTGAACATGTTTTATATTTGATAATTCTTATTCCTTCTTATATTTTGTTTTTCTAGGAGTCTATATTGAGTTCTTAATAAATGTTTTTTGAAAATAATGGTAATGTAACTTGGGGTATTTTTAACCATATTGAAAACACAGTTTTAAATTAATTTCTAAAGACCCTGGCCATTCTCCTAATAATTCCCTTAATCGTTCTTTCAAAATTATTTATCTCTGGTTAGTTCATTCCATTTGGGCCAAGCAAAATTGAACAAATCTAGGCCAATAGTTTTGTGGTGGCCAAGTGGATCCATGCTATATCCTCAAACATTAGCCATCTCATAAATGCATACTTTTACTTCCCAAGTTGAATGAAAGGGTATACAGCTGGATCAGTTCAGTATATTTCACTGTGAATAGGATCCTCTCTTTGTAAAGCACAGTATTTTAATTAATTAATTATTTTTTTACAAAGATTTTACTTATTCATTAGAGAGAGAAAGCAGTGGGGGACAAAGAGAGAGAAGAAACAGACTCCCCACCAAGCAGGGAACCCAGTGTGGGGCTCGATCCCAGGACACTGGGATTGTGACCTGAGCCGAAGGCAGATGCTTAATCAACTGAGCCACCCAGGTGCCCCTAAAGCACAGTATTTTTAATATCCCTGTCCCTTTTTAGGTAAACATCAGAACTTTCTATCGATACATTTTTTCCTGTTACAGAGTTCACTTAGTAAATGGATTTATGACAGAGCTCTCTGACAACAGAGTACTGACAACAGCTCTTGGAGGACTTCCTGGGCCAGTTCCTATTTTTTGGACCCTAATTGGGAAGCTTTGTATTACACCTCCCTACCTATAAGATTGAAAGGGGAGGGATTTCAACCCCGAAGACTGGGAACTCCTGGAATTAACACGCCCCTTCATTTTTCCAGTGGATCCACACCATCTGCATTCCTCTGCAATACATATTTTTAAATGTTCAACTGTTTTACAACACAAGTGACTCTTGCAATGTACTTGTGCTCTGCTTAGTTTATGTGAAGATTGTAACCCAAGATTTAGTCTGGAATTCTCATTTCCCTTTTTCAAGTTCAGAACTAACCTGAAACAGTTCTAAAGTATTAAGCAGAGACCAGGTGCTCTGTATTTGTTATTTGAAGTCACTTGAAAATTTTTTCCAGTTGTTAATACTCAGAAACAGTATTAGCTTGCTGTAAAGCAAAAGCGTATAGGTTTTGGAGTTAGATGGGTTTGAGTTCAAATTTTGTTTTGTTTATTTAATAGCTTGGACCCTAAACAGTTCATTTAACCCCTCTGAGCACTATCTTATGTAAAATGGGCATAATTGTAAAGGGCTATTGTAGCTTGTAAGATTGTTGAGAAGGGGATCATTTTATTTATTTTTTATTTAGTTTTTAAAGATTTTATTTATTTATTTTCATAGAGAGAGAGAGAGAACAAGCAGGGGGAGCAGCAGGCAGATGGAGAAGCAGGCTCTCTGCTGAGCAAGGAGCCTGATGCGGGAGGGACTGGATCCCAAGACCCTGGGATCATGACCTAAGGCAAAGGTAGACGCTTAACTGACTGAGCCACACAGGTGTCCTGAGAACAGGGATCATTTTATTTAATTTTTAATAAATTCATCTTTTATATGTCTTGTGCCTGAAATCATGCGTGGTACACAAACGCTTATTGAATTTTTTTAAAGAGGGGCACCTGGGTGGCTCCATTAAGTGTCTGACTCTTGGTTTCAGCTCAGATCATGAGATGGAGCCTTGAGTGGGGCTCCATGCTGAGTGTGGGGTCTGCGTAAGATTCTTTCTCTTTCCTTCTGTCTCTGCCCCTCCCCCTGCTTGTGCTTGCTCTCTCTGTCTCTTGAAATAAATAAAATATTTTTAAAAAATAAATTTTTTTGAAGTTGAATTGAATTCTTGTGAAGATGTAATCAAATAGTGATTTTTTTTGCATTTGATTATTATATATCTATGCCTTTTAAATTCAAAGAAATCATTTAACAAACTTCATGAAAGATACAAGTTTATGGTGAGTTTTGGGATCTCTAAGTCTGCTTGTTTTGTTGTAGTCGGTTGCCTACTATGCTGAAATGTAAGTACCTGGCACATGGTGGGCTTTTAATAAGTGCTGAAAGCTTTTCATTTCTCACTAGTCCTTTTTAATATTATTCTCCATTCTAGTGAGCATTCAGAGCAATTCCTTTTAACTCTCTTGGTTCCTAGGAGACCAGTGGCTTTCCAAGGATGCAATATAATATTAAGAGCGAGCAAGAAGTCTAGAAATGGAACAGGGCTCCGTGAGCTAGCTGTGTTGCAATGAGAAAGTTACCTAATCTCCCTGAGTCTGTTTCTTCACTGCTGTTGTAAGGATTGAACAAGTTAATATAATTCAAGTATGTGGATCTAGTGTCTGGCAAATAAGAAGCACTATATAAGAGTTTATTGCTACTGTCATTATTCATTCTCTGCTTGAGATTGAAATTGCCCTCCTAAACTTCATCCAGGCTTTTAACTGAGAACTTTTTCTTCCCATTGTACATACAAACTTCTTAAAACACATTCTTTTCTGTTCTAGGCTTGTACCCTTTAAGCTTATTTTTTCCCTTACCTCTTTTTTTTTTTTAATTCTCCAAAGTTCTGTAAATACTATTTTTCAGTAACAGTGCCCTGTAGGGTACTATAATACTGCCATCCTTTGTTATATCCAGGAATTTTCTGGTTTTATCAATTATTGGCTTAAATATTAACATTATAACAACTATGTTTGGCAAATCTCTAGCCTTGATCCAACTGCAATTTATCCACAGTAAATTGCACAGATGGCTTTCTTTTTCCCTCAAATAACATGAAATTAGATGTTTGTTTTGGCAGTTCTTGTGTGGCCTTATTTAACCTCAGACCATAGCCACTTTAGCGCTTCTGTTAGTGTGTTTTTAGTACTTAGGTTGAGGTTACTTTTCAGATTAATTTAGATGACAAAATGACATGAATTTAGGCCACCAAATGCAGAACCGTTTTAGATCTGCGCTTCCTGACCTGATACTTGTCTCCCAGCGTTTTTCCTGTTACTGTAAACTACCCAACTGTTATAAGTAAAAACTGTTAAGGTAGAGCTTAAACATTACAAATAAACTTTAAAAGAGTTGGTAAGCACAGTTTCTTTTACCTAGTAGAATCATACCTAATAACCACTTTTTTAACCTTGATTTCGTGAGAGCACAGTTCAAAAAACACAGTAGATTAGTCCTTATCGTTCAAACCAAGGGAAATGTAACTTCCTTATAGATTTCTTGATTTATGTAAGATTTCTTAGAATTACTTTTTCCCCCCCAATGTTACTTTCTTTGAACATTTTTTGTTGTGGTAAAAATATAAATATATATATATATTTTT